CAGCATTTTCTCCCTCGGTGCTCTGGAGGCCCCTCGGGCGGACGGTGGGAAGAAAGAAGTTGGAGAAGTGCAGGGGGCCTTGGGGCCCTGGGGGCGGCGTGCGGGGGGCAGGTGGGGCCGGGGGCGCTGCGCGCGGAGGGCAGGTGGGGCCCAGGTGGCGGCGTGCGGCGGGGGCAGGTGGGGCCTTGGCTCCGGTTTCTTGAGCCCCCACGTGGGTGCGGGCACCCAGGCCGCTCTGCAGAAACCTGGGGGAACCTCCTCTCCCTTCCCCGCTGGGGCAGGGCGCAGATGGGAAAGTCCTGCAAAGTTCTCACAGCTCTAGGCTATGAGGGGCTTGCCCCAGGCCCGGAGGGAATCCGGTCCCGGGGCGTGAAGCCGTGCTTTTCGGGGGTGAGCAGCTTTGTGTTCTCTCCAGGGTCCTCTCCCCTTTAGACATTTAGCTGCGAGCAGACTCCCCCCCCCCCCACCAAAAAAAAGCAGGGTATTGAGAGGTTGGAGGGCAAAGGCCTTGGGGGGAAGTGAGGTCAGAAATGCTATCCGTCCACACTGGCACCTCCCATTAAAGTCGAGGGCTTCGTCTCCAAACGTTGACTCCAGAAATCCAAAAACCCCAAGAGCACCCCGAAAACCCCTCAGCTTATGTTAAACTTCTTGGACACTGCTATTTGGGGTTTGGGACGGGTTCAGCCTCGGAGTGCGGATGAGGTGGTTGAAATGCTGACTTGTGAGCACCGAGGCCCCAAGTAAACCACCTCAAATGATTTCACCCCCTCTTGGGTGACAGGCTTTGTTGCCAGGTAGGACTTTAATCTCCCAGCCTTTGCCAGTGCTTAGGATGGATGGACAGTGGGTTGCATTGGTGACTCATTCAAGGCCGGAGACCCCTGCTTTGGTCTCGCTGCCCTAGGTTCTCAAACTGGGATCTTTGGGGTCTGGGGTCACAGTGTCAGGCAGCCCCGAGACCCTAAAGTCCTGTTGTGGGCTGGCTAGCACCAGTTCTCCTTTTTCTTATGGGGAGTGCCTGGAGGAGTGCCGGGGTCATCAGGTGTATGGCCTTCGGGTGGGGACTCGCCCTTTACCCCTCATACTTCTTTGCAGAATGCCCCGCTCTCCCCTGCCATCTGCATCCAAGATGGACTCTCACAGCGGCTCCTCCGCCTTCCCTGTCATCATCCCTCACGCCCTCCAGCCCTGCCTCCTGCTCACGGGTTGCCAAGCTGCGGCCTGGCCGGTGGTGGCAGTGGCGGAGTTAGACAATGCCCCCCCCCGTCTGAAAGAGCCCCCCCCCCCGCGCCCCAAGTGGCGGGAAGGCCGCCAGCTCCCCAGGCCCAGGCCGCTCTTTGTCTGGCGTGGGGGTGGGGAGCTGCGCCTGGCCCCAGGAGCTTCCTGGCCTCTGCCAAGCCCTCCCGGCTCCTTGCACACTGTGCTCATTGTCTGAGATGCTCCTCACCGGCTGGCTCTGCTGACGTGGAGCCGCCTGTCTGGCCTCTCTCAGCCCAGTGCCAGTGTCTGCAGGATGGAGAGGGCCTGGGTAGCACCGAGGACCCTTCCACCAACCCTCCCTGCGGTAGACACCCTCCCCAAAACTGCGTATGGCATTGGCTTGGCACAGAGTCAGGTTCATCTACTCAGGGTGATGGCAAGCCAGGCTGAGGTATTACTTGAGTTCTGCCACCCACATGGGGCTATTTCTCATTCTTCTTCTTTTGCCAACCCCCTAAACCTATCCCCAAAGTCATTAAACTGCAGGATAGACCTTCTATTGGAGAGCATGGCCTCAGAAACCCAGAGAGGGAAGGACCTTGTCAGAGATCCCATGACTAGGAGTGGTACCACTGGGCTAGTCCTGGAGAGAAGATGGGACAGGGAGGGAGAATCACAGAGAAGGCTGGGGAAGGTAGTAGGTGACCCTAGCGCCTACAAGGAGGGCCAGTCCACCCCTTATATAGTGCTGGAATCTTCTAAAGGCCTCAAGTGCTCTGTCATGACATACCACCTCTTTGGTGTTTAGCCCCTAACCTTCCTGAGCTTGAGAGGGTTGACAATCCCTCTTAGGATTGGAACCCAACTCCAGAACTGCAAAACCTGTAGCACTCAGGCCACACTGAAGCCATCTCTGAAGGCTTAGGAAATGGGATTTCATCACAGTGGTGAGGGAGTTCAGGCTGCTCAGCCTGGGTGGCATATTTCTGGCTCTCTGACCTGCTCCTGAGGTCTCCTGCTCCTGCTCCTGCTCCACATCCCCAGCTCTTGAATAGAGAAACAGGTGTTGGGGTTGCCAGCTTGCTGCTTAGCCACTTCTGTGCAGTGTGTCTTGGCAGCCAGCCCTGATTCTGAGGTTCTCCAGGGCCCCTCCTAGCTCCAGCACCCTGAGCTCCTGAATGAACTTCCACCCCTCCCTTCACCCACACCAAGTGAGCAGCTGGTAGCTTGGCCAGCCTGGCACCAGCTGTCCTTCCCTGGGGCCAAGTCTGCAGAGCCTGCTGTGTGCCTGAGAGAGTTTGGCTCTGGGGGCAATGGGTGGGCAGCTGCCAAGGAAGACTAGGTAAATTCTCCATGGTTACTGCTGTTTGTAATTCGAAGGACATCCTTTACCAGCTTAATGGCCACTTGGATGTCATTATAGGTCTGCATGTTCCAGCCAGGGGCCTCCCTTTCCCATACTAGGAGACATTCTGTGCTGGGCTGTGGGCTTTACTTGGTCCTGCTGCACTCAGAGGGGCCTTAATCCACTCTTTTGGGGTACAGAGCCAGGGGGCATATACTGTCAGGAATTATGTCCCTCTTTGGAGAGGGGAGGAGAGGCCCAGAGAGGTTAAGGGGCTTCTGTGAGGCACAAAGGTGGTGTTCTCTACAGCCTTGTTTTATGTGTATGTTGTGTACCTGTCACCCACCAGGTTGGGTTCAGTGCCTTGAGGCCTTTGTCTGTCTTATATTGTTCAGCAGAGGTGGATGTGTAGGAACACAAAGATGTCTGTAAGAAATTCTAGCCTGGGTTGAATCAGCCTCTGGTGAGTGGGTCCTGGGATGGGGTCAGCTAAGATTTGACGGGACATAGCCATCATTCTTGGTATCAGTCCCTCCGGTTCTGTAACCATTTGTGGTACTAGGTATTCGGTGGATGGCTGTCCTTTACACACTTGCTTTCATTATAGCTAAGCTAGTGTCTGGGTGATGGCTATTGGAAGTTCAGAGCAGAATTCTCTGTTCTGTGAAGTGAAACTCCACAGGTGGTGGCCTGGGGCCTGGGCAGGGGTACTGTAACTGTAGCAGGATTCAGTGCCCTTTGGTGTAGCCAAGGCTGGAGATCTCTAACCTCTTCCTCTCTCCTGCAGCAGGAAGTGTCCATTCGCCTTCCACTAGCATGGCAACACCCTCCCAGTACCGCCAGCTGCTGAGTGACTATGGACCGCCATCACTAGGCTACACCCAGGTATTATAGCAGTATGGGTGATTGCGTGGTGGGAGGGCCCTGGGGGCAGCCAGAACAGTAAAGGGATGTGGGCCACTGTTAGAAGAGATTCAGGGGACAAGGATGGATCAGAGCAGTCACCTATGTTCTGCATTTCCTGAACCACATCTGGGGCTTGGCTTCCATTCCTCACTTGAGGCATCAGAGTGCAGAGGCCACCAGGACTGTTTAATGGAGACATGAGGGAAGTGAGAACATGAGAAAGGGCTTGTGTTCCCTGAGGTGCACAGGTCACTATGTGCATGTTTCTGTGTTGCTTTGCTAGTTTCCTGGGCAAGTAAGTTCCATCTGGGCTTTGATTGTCTAAACTGGCATAGGAGTGGGATCAGTGAATTGGGATGCTGGTGGTTATGAGTGTGGTCCGCAAGTCGGCTGCTTGGTTTATAACTGGTTCTACCCCTTCAGGAGACCATGGCTCTTTGGATCCCCAGGTCCAGTGGGGTGACTCCAGTGTCAGTCCCAGGAGGGAGGTTGCTGCATCTTTGGCTGGACTCTGCAGGGACATGCTATACCTGGGAAGGTTTCTAGCAACCCTGGTTGTCAGCAGGAAGATTCCCTAGGCCAGGCCCTAGCCAGTGTTCTGGGATCGCCGTGGAGGTCTCTCTTTGGCTTAGGAAGCTATGCACAGCCTCCAGCCTTGCCCTGCCAAGCAGTTCCGTCCCAGGAGGAGAAGGAGGCACGGGCCGAGACAGACTGAAGAAGCAAAGGCACAGCCTAGAGCGGCAGCACCATCCAGAGCTCATGCAGGGAAAAATGAGAGGCCAGGAGGCAGCTGTCCCAGGAGGCTGAGCCCCAAGGCCAGGCCTACATGCCGGGTGGCCAGGCCTGGGAGTGGAGGCGGCAGAGGCGAGAGGAGCAGGCTAGGGCCCTGGAGAGGAGCTGGCTGCTTTGGTGCAGCTGCGGCAGGAGTTGAGGCGGGAGCCGGGGCCCTCGCTGATCTGGGTGCTTGCTTGGGGGCTGAAGGCATTAGTCTGGAGACTAGGCTGTCTGTGGGGTAGATCTGGCCTATGGGAAGAATGGGGTGTTTTTTTTTCCTTTGAGAATGTTCAAGGGACTTTCTGGAGACTTGGATATTGTTTGAATACGGGACAGGAGGGTAAAGACATACTTCCCTACTCTGGAGTTTTACCTAGAATGGAACATGCTGCCCAGCGGAGGCCCTGGGAGCCCAAGGCTAGATCATTTCCCCCCCAACTTGCTCCTGGGCTCCCCCATGTGTGGCTGGGGTTAGGTTAAGATTCAGTCCATCCAAATCCCTGTCTTCTGATCCTAGGGAACTGGGAACAGCCAGGTACCTCAGAGCAAATATGCAGAGCTGCTGGCCATCATTGAAGAGTTGGGGAAAGAGATCAGACCCACATATGCAGGGAGCAAGAGTGCCATGGAGAGACTAAAACGAGGTAAGCTGTGGGTTTGTGGGGCACTACAGGTTGCCCTATCCCAGTTGAAGGATTTTCTGAAGCTGGATATGCTGGTAAGTGCTTGTAGTCCTAGCTACTCAGGAGGCTGAGGCAGGAGGATCACTTGAGCTCAGAAAGTAGATGCTAAGAGATTCCCTAGGAAAAACACTGGGGTCTGAAGGACTGAAAGGTCCCCAAAACCCCCAGGTTGATGTTATATGTGTACCTGGGCACCTGCAGGTATGGCAGTTGGGTATGGTTGGAGAGGGGGCTCAGGTGGAGTTTTTGAGAAGGGCATCTGGCTGTGAGTCCTCCGTATGCTACACCAGCCAGAGAAGCTCTGCTGGCTTCATTGGATCTCTGTAGCCCAAACCCAGCAGCTGTCTCTTCTGTGTTCCTGTATCAGAGGCCCCTTGGCAACAATGACTGTAGAGCGTGTGGGCCTGAAGCCTGTCAAGGCAGCAGAGCATCTTTTTTTTTGGGGGGGGGGGGGGGGGGGGGGTTTTTTTTTGAGAAAGGCTGTAGCCCACCTGGAACTCACTATGTAGTCCAGGTTGGCCTTGAATTCATAGAGATCCATCTGCCTCTGCTTCTCAAGTGCTGGAATTAAAGGTGTGCGCCACCATGCTGAGTAACAGTAGAGCATCTTGAGATTGCTTTTAGTATTTTGTGTGTGTGTGTGTGTGTGTGTGTGTGTGTGTGTGTGTAACAAAATATATGTAACATAAAATTTAACATTTTAACAATTGTAAGTTCATTCATATTATGTAACCATCACACTGTTCCTAACCAGAACTTTTCATCTTGTAAGATTGAAACTCTGCTCATTGAAGTACAAGCTGCCTCACACCTCCATACTCCCTTGAGATTCTTTTAGAGACTGAAGAAGGAAGGTGATTTCACTGCAAGACACTCAAGGCAAGGTGTGAGGTGTGAAGGACATTAAGCAGCTTGCTGCCTCATGGCAAAGCTGTTAGGGGAGAGGAGTTCTATTTTAGAAGGTGGCAGATCCAGGACTCTGAATTCATTTATGACCAGGAGGTACTTGATTCATAGAAAACATTACAGAAGGAACTTGAGAGACAGGAGAGAGGGCCATCGTTTAGTTACAGATCTGTGGTATAAGGCTGCTGCTGAAGTCAAGCTTCCCAGCCATTGAGCCAGACCAGCTGAGGGACAGACTACAACTGAGGACAGTGAGGCTTTGTTCATGGGACTTCTGCGAAGTGGGTGACTAACTGAAGATAGACTGGGTAAATGGGGACAGGCCTGGAGATGGGGACTGGCAAGAGAGAGAAGCTGTGACTGAAGAGGGCTTGGGGAAAGGATGTGGACCCCAGCTTGACCAGGGAGCCAGGTGACATCACTGCTGCTTTGATATCAGAAGGAAGTGAGATAGTTTGGTAACTGCAGTGCTTGTTACATGAATGAAAATTCTTGGGAGGATGCTAAACAGGCATTTGCAGTCACCCAAAAAAGTCAGCAGATTGAATCAGTGTATGATTGTACAAAGCAGCCATTGCAGGACATATCCTGGAAGAGCTTTGGGCTCCATAGTAATGAAGCAGATCTCATGTCACCATAGCTGACTGCTAAGGCCACAGAAGCCTTACACACTAGGATGAGGTCTTAATCTGTAGCCTAGGCTGGTTTCAAACTCAGGGCAGTCCTCCTGACTCTGCCTTTGGGGTGTAAGCTGCCATGCCAGGTATAACATTGGTGTTTAAGAGAGGGGCCTGACTGTATGTTGCTTGTCTTGAATTCCTAGGTTAAATAATCTTCCTCTGTTACAGCCTCTTTAATAGTTTGGACTTGGGGGGGCGGTGGAGAGATGACTTGGCAGTTAAGAACACTGGTAATTCTTACAGAAGATCTGGGTTCAAATCCTAGCACCCACATAGCAGCCTGACAACTGTCCATAACTCCAGTACCAGGAGATCTGACAGTCTTTTCTGTTCTTGGGCATTGCACGACATGAGTGCACTTAACCTACATGCAGGCAATACACGCATACACATAAAAAATAAAAATTAGCCAGGTGTGGTGGCGCACACCTTTAATCCCAGCACTTGGGAGGCAGAGGCAGGTGGATCTCTGTGAGTTCAAGGCCAGCCTGGTCTACATAATGAGTTCCAGGACAGCTGGGGCCACAGGGAGACCCTGTCTCAAAGACCAAAATGAATAAATAAAATAAAAATTAAAAAAAATATTTAAAAATAGTTTGGACTTTGGGGTTGTTTGGATGGAAATCTCAAGTTTCTGTCCAGCGTGAGGATTTCAAGGTCAGGGTTTAAAAGCATGCATCTTCTTTCGGTTCTTCGAATGACTGATCCTGGACTCTGCTTCTCTTTCAGGCATCATTCACGCTCGAGGCCTGGTTCGGGAGTGCTTGGCTGAAACAGAACGCAATGCCAGGTCCTAGCCTCCGTAGTTTGAAGGTCCCCATCTTTGTATGAAATGGGAGGTTAACAATTCATATCGCCTGTTGAGATAAAATTCTTTTTTTAAAAAGTGGTAACAGTTTAGTTTTTTTCTGCCAGTTTTTTTCTGCCATGGTTCACTAAGCTTTGAACCTACACTCTCAAAGATTGGGGAAATATTTTGCAGTTAATTAAGATGTGCATTTTAAGTAGTTAGGAATGACCCAGGTTGTCTTTTTTTTTTTAAGCATTGATTTAAAAGATGCATGTAAAATTACTTTATAGCAAACTATTGTTTGCCCCCAAATGCCAGTGTCTCCCTTTAATCCTCCTTTGAGTACATTTGTTGTTTGCATTACCCAAACAGATTTGTTCCTTTTCATAAGCTCATTGGACTCTGAGGACTTTAGTGCATACCGACATACCAGTTTTACTTAGTACCTGGCTTGCTTGCCATACAGTGTAGATTCTGCTTAATGGAGCTTTTTTGCTTAAGCATTTGCATGACTCTGAGTGCTTTGAGGTCAATCTTAAAAAATGCAAAAGTTATAAATACAGAAGAAAGAGCAGTCTACCCAACCTAACAAGCACCCCCAAAATTTCTATCCCAAGACTGTGCATAGATGTTCCACATTTGCTGTAAGCTGATCATAACATTTGGAAGAAAATGACTGAAACTGTTTGCATCTTTGTATGTATTTATTACTTGATGTAATAAAGCTTATTTTCATTAACAATTTGTACCAAAATGTAAGTTCCTTAGGTTCTTAAGTACTTGTGTTTTTTGGAGGCAGGGGTGAGACAGGGTCTTGCTAATATAGTCAGACTGTCTTTGATCTCAAAGTCTTTCAGTCTTGGCTTCCCAAGTGTCTGGACTACTGTAGCACCTCCTTAGGGGGAGGTTAGAGATGCCTGTCCGAGGGCATTGTCTCACTTGGCCCTGAAACATTTTATGTGATGATGTCATTAGCACAGCTGGCTGGGGGATGTGTCTGCTTAACAGTTAGGGACAACAAACATAAAGCTGCACTGTGGAATTGAAGTGTGTGCTAAGAAAGAAAGGAAATTAATAGCAGCAGCGTGACTGGCTTGGTGGATGCGCCGCCACTTCCAAATTCTCAGCAGGCTCATCTTGTTTTCCTGAGTGCTCCAAGAATCTGCTTTCGCTGGGCATGGTAACTTACTCCTGTAATCCCAGTACTTGGTAGAGGCAGGAGGATCAGACACTTGGGGCCAGCCAGGGCTACATAGTTAGGCTCTGTCCCAAAAAAACCAAAATATTTTTATAATGTGGTTAACTTAAGCTATTTCATCTGGTACTCACTTAAAATACCTGCTCTGATGCTGAAGGAAAGGCCAGATGTGTGGAGAGTCCCCGTGTTCTCCACAGAACTTCCTAGGGGGCTTGGGGGTTTTTGCTGTGTAAAAACTGACCCTGCATGAGAGCTTGCTTTGGGGTTGCAGGCATGAAACAAGAGCCCAGTCATGAAGAGTTGGAAGGCTCGTGGCAGGAAGCTCTGGGCTCTACATCTTCATGCCCAGGGCAGAAAACCACTAAGGTCCAAGAGGAAACAAAGCAAAGCTCTTTTTGGCTACTGCTCTGAATTCCCTTCCCATGTATTCCTTCTGTCCCTCTCCTTAACTGCCTAGTTAAGGGAAGCTGATAGGGGAAGGACCTGGGCAATCCAACAGGAAGAATAGTGAGACCTGTGGTGGAGTGTCCCAGGCAGCTCTGGCCTTAGGTGAGAAGAGCTCCATCTGGTAACTTCCAGAGAAAGATTCACTTGTCTGGCCTGGGCCTGCATGATAGACTGAGCTTCTCTGCAAAGGTGAGGCAGCCCTGAGTCTGTCAGAATAACAGTGGCTCTCACCCTTTCTGTATGTGAACTCCAGGGAGAACTCTTTACCATGGATTAAACAGCTCAAAAATAATGAAACAGTTATAGCTAGGTGTGGTGGCACATGCCAGTAATCCTAGCACTGGGCAGGCAGAGACAGGATGATCAAATTCAAAGTCATCCTTTGCTACATAGTTCAAGGCTAGCCTGAGCTACAAGAGTCTCCAAACAAGACTAAGGTCCAGTAAGTATCACAAACAAATCAGGTTTTGGAAGCTCATCTCTAAAACTACTTGCACATATTCAGGGAATGATAAACTTCCTACATACTTGGCCAGTGTTCTAGTTTCTTTTCTATTGCTGTTGATAAAATGATAAAATACTCTAACACCACCTTTAATCTTAATCTCAGTGCTTGGGAGGCAGAGGCAGGCAAGTCTGTGAGATTGAGGCCAGCCTGGTCTACATAGTTTCAGGCCAGCTGGGGCTACAGGGAGACCCTGTGTCAAAAAGACCGAAAAAACAAAACCCTAACCAACACAAGTAATTTAGTAACATTTGACCTTAATAATTTTTTTCCTTTTTTTTTTTTTGAGACAGGGTCTTCCTGTAGCCCCAGCTGGCCAGGAACTAGCTATGTAGACCAGGTTGGTCTTGAACTCACAGAGATCCACCTGCCTCTGTCTTCCAAGTGCTGGGATTAAAGGCCTGCACCACCACACCTGGCTAATTTTTATTTTTTATGTGTATGTGTGTATTGCCTGCATGTAGGTTAAGTACTGAGATTAAAGGCATGTACCACCATGCCTGCCTATAATGAATGTATTGCCTGCACTTGTGTAAATTTACCTGTGCCCTACAATGCCTTCGGAGATCAGAAGAAGGCATCAAATCCCTTGGAACTGGAGTTATGGACAGTTGTTAGTTGCCATCTGGGTGCTGGGAATCAAACCCAGATCCTCTGTAAGAACAGTCAGTGCTCTTAACTTCCGAGCCATCACTCCAGCTCCCGGAACGCCTTCTTTAGAGGCTGTTAGGATGTTGATCACAGGCACCCCCACTGTTATTCTGGAAACCTCTTGGGAGACTCAGAATCAGTTATTTTCTCAGTGATGTTTTTACTTGATTCCCATAGCTTTTTAAATAATCTTTTTTTTTCTAGAGTTTCCTTTGCTCTTTTTTTTCTTGCTTGCTTTTTCTTTTCTGCTTCTCGTTTCTCTTTGTTAACAGAACTGTTTTCACCATTGTAGAAAACATCCACTTTTTCCTGCAGGATTTTCCGGGCGAGCTTTCTGTTGTGATCCATAGATCGTGTCTGGTGACACTGCAAGAGATTATGTTCAGGAAATGTGAAAACCACAGGATGTTAGGATGGACAGGACCCCAGAAGTCACTTAATCTAACCATTCCCTCCAGAGAGGGACAGGCTAGGAGGGCAAAGCCACTTGCCAGGAGTCCGTGAGTCAGTAGCAGTGAAGAACAGTCTTCCTGCATGTGGACTCAGCTTCTTCACACACCGGCCATATTATGGGACTTCTAGTGTGAAGGTTTTATAACTAATGTGATTTTTGTTTAGAAGCAAAAATAGCCTTCAGATAAGTAGTCCCCAAACAATTATAGAAACATTTAATGATGTACGTAGCTTGTGGCCAGGTAACCCCTGTGCAACATTTGTGTGTGTCATTCAAAGTATGACTATCTGGAGGAAGAAAACAGCACCTTTATTAATAGCTTACCACAACATTCATTACATAAAAGCTTTGTGCTGGTGGGTGCGTGCCTTACAAAGCTGATGGGAAGGAAATGCTATGGAACGTTTGAGTGACTACCAAATGCGAACATGAAGCTATCAGCAAGCTAAACAAAAATTGCTTTTGGAAATTTGTTACCGTTTTTCAAATAGGAAAAGGAAAGGAACTGAGATTTTAACTGATGTTTTCTTGGCTCTGAAAGTTGGCAGTAAAACGGTCCCTGGGAACCTGGACTGTGGGCAAGTTACATGTCTGCCTCAGGTTGCACACCTGCCCAAGATGAAAATGACTAACGTGTTTTTAGGACTGAAAGAGTTAACAAGTGCAGAGTGCCTTAGAAGGCTGCTTGCCCTAGTGGTATCTGCTGCTGGGGTGGCTCTACCTCAGTATTCCTGCTTCCTCAAGGCTGTGTGTGCTGCTTTGGGGCCCTCTAGTGATCTATACGTGGCAGTGGCATGTCTGGCTGGCAGCTCTCCTGGCCTGGCTCATCTTTCTGGGGTGATCTGTCTGCTAGCACTCCCCACTAAAAAATATGTGGCCACTTCTTACAGGTGCAGAATATTCTAGAGTTGGTGCTGCCCTTGATCAGACTGGCTTTTTCTCTTCTGAGGCTCCACATGCTTTGCCTCTACCTCTACCTCAGTCCTTTCTCTGGAAGGGCAGGTGTCACTGACATGTGCCAAAGCAGGGCAGAAGGACTTAGAGATGGCCATCTTACCAGGAGTCAGCCCCATCAGCTGAGGACTGATATAGCTAGACAGCATCATGGGTCCTTCAGGGATGGAAGCATATGCTGTTGCAGACCAGGGTGGCTTTGGGAGCAGCCAGCTGAAAGGACTTGCCTTTGTCAGTCACTGCTTCACTTACTTCACTGCTGCTTGAGCAGCCAGCAAATGCTGGTGCTAAATTCAGACACAGCAGCAGTGCCCTGGCTCCACAGGACCCTGGAACCAAGCTCCTAAGGCTAGGCAGGAGGTTCCATCTCCAGAATAGTTCAGGGCTTGAGCATGTCTGCAGCACTGATTACCAGCTGGGCTGGCAGTGCGCCAGATTGGGTGTGACCCTAGGCTGAAGGCTGTGGAGCCTTGGACTGCCCCTGCCCACCGCCTTGACTCCCACACTGCCTCACTACCTTGACCACGATGCCTGAGGGCACGTGCTTTAGTACCACGCAGTTGCTGGTTTTGTTGGTAGCTTGGCCCCCTGGACCATGGCCTTTCACAAACTGCTCTTCAAGTTCATTCTCGTTGAGGGGAAGCAGAGCAGGGCAGTCCTTCCTGCCTGCCACCTGGACTACAGTGGCAGCCATTCCCGGTGAGAGCAGTGTCCTCGTTTGGAGTCCCTGGGGCCCGGTGCAGATCCTGCTCACTCTCCCCAGGAGACAGAACAAAGCCCAGGTGCTCATCGAGGGCATGGCTTGTCAGGACCTGGGATGGACAAATAATGAGTCTGGCTTTTCAGTAAGATCTTTGCTCTCAGGATGACACTCAGGCTTCAATTCCAGCTTTTTATACAATCCCAGTGACTGCAATTCATGCCCAGGGCATGTAGGGGACAAGAGAAGACAGACAGCTCAACAAGGCACACCTCTTCAGCCCTACTGTCACCTACTGAGTTCTCATCATCCATGTCCTGTCAGCTAGTATTTCCTTAGACCAAAAATACTTTCAGAGCACCCAAAGGTGCTGCTTTCTCAGGAAGGGGGTTTTGAGTGCAGGATCAGGCTGGCTCTGATTTCAGAGATCCACCTGCCTCTGCCTCCTGAATTCTGGGATTTAAAGGCATGTACCACCATGCATGGCATGTTTTGAGTGAAATTTAAAGGAGCAAGGCTGTAATTTGATAAAGGCATATTAAGTAAGAATTAGGATCTGAGGCAAGGGACAGTATTTAAATGTGAAATCTACATTTATGTGAGGATGATAGTATGAGTCTGTTTGACAGCTGAGCTTAAAGTCTGACACAGTAAACTTCACTATCAATCAGTGTCATGACTATTGTTTTGTAATGTTTCCAGTTCCATGGATTTGAAAGGAACATCTGTTCCCTTGGACACCCTGCCAGTAATGTGATCCAACCGGTCCTCTTCATTAGCTCTACCAAATCAACCAGTTAGGCTTAAAACACCATGGAAGGAATGGTGAGGGAAACTAAGAAGAAAAAAGAGCTAGGCTGCCTTTGTGGAGCTTATGAGTTGGTTAGAGGAGCTATTCAAAGATCAAGTAAAATTTATTTTTTGGTGTTAGGGGTTGGACTCAAGGCCCCAGGCATGTTAAACCCATTTTTAGCAAGTTACAATCCAGCCATGAAAGCTTTTTTAAAAAAAATAAAATAAAAGATTTATCAGAGTGGTAGTGCACACCTTTAATCCCAACACTCAGGAGGCAGGCAGAGCTCTGTGAGATTGAGGCCAACCTGGTCTACATGTGAGTTCCAGTTAGGGATACATAGAGACCCTGTCTCAAAAAAAAAAGTAAAATGAAAAATAAAGCAATAGAAAACACACTTAACTCACAACAAGCGTCCTCCCCAGTACTCACCTAGAGCTCAGGGTGGACACATCAGCAGTCACAGGTGACAGTGGGTGACAAGTGAGTGAGCTAAGAGCAAAGCTGGTTTGGCCACCTTACAAGCTGGCTCCTTCCTCCCTATGTCACAGACCATCTGCTGGGATTAGAGTCATCAGGTTTCAGATGGTAAAAGCTGCTGTTTAGAGCCTGAGGGTGCAGCATGAAGCTCATCTGCGCTCCTTACCTGCAGCCGGGGTTCTGAGCCTACTTGGCTCCCAGAGAGTTTGCTAAAACATAGTCCTGAGCCTTCAAAAACAACAAAGCCCTCCTCAGAATAAGGATTTTTCTTTTTCTTTTTTTTTTGTGGTATTTTTGAGACAGGGTCTCCCTGTAGCCCCAGCTGGCCTGGAACTCATGTAGACTAGGCTAGCCTTGAACTCACAGAGAGCCCCTGCCTCTGCCTCCTGAGTGCTGGAATTAAATGTGTGTGCCACCACGCCTGACTTTCTCATCTTTTTTAACCTATGTGGGCTGGGTGGAGAAAGGTGAATTCACCCATTTTCCAGTAGAAGAAACAGGCCTGGCTTGTGACTTGCCCTCTTCACATAGAGGTCTTTCTTCAACTCCTTCTCCCTTTGGCCCCTTGAAAACATCAAGGTGTGTGGGATTAACCATGTCCTCCTAGCTAGTAGTCCCTGTCCAATTCCTTTGTCAGTTAAATCCTTTCAATCTTATGTTGTATCTTGAGGTGTTTAAATCTTTTTGGTTTTTTGAGACATGTGAGCAGGGTCTTACTCTGTAACCCAGGGTGGTCCTCAAACTCTTGGCAGTCTTCCTGCCTCAGTCTTCTGAGTGCTGGGATTGCTAGCATGGACCACTGTAGGTGGCCTGGAACTCACTGGGATTAAAGGTGGTGCACCATCATGTCTGGCTTTCCTGTTGCTTTAAATACAAGCTTCTGAGTAGCTGGTCCAGTCCATACCGAGATGCATCTGGGAATCTTTAGACGATAGTACACTTGCCATCTCTACCCCTGCTTTTTCTATGGTGATGAAGGTGAGCCACAGCATACTGTACTTCTCAAGCCTTATACTACTGCTAGTTTTCAATTCTGTGGCTGGCAGCATGCTCTAAACCCGTCTCCTTTTACTAACATTCAGTGTGTCCTGTCAGTTCCAGTGGGTGATAATTAAGACAATAGCAGAAAGTGCCGCATGGCTGTGAAGGGACACATTTTGAAATACTGAGCACCAGTGAGAGTGCGTTAAAAACTGGTGTTGGGCTGGCAAGATGGCTCCGAGTGTAAAGGTGCTTACCACCAAGTCTGACCTGAATTTGATCTCCAGTACCCACAGTGGAAGGAGAGAACTGATTCCTGAAAGCTTTCTCTGATCTCTACATGAGTACCATTGGTATGTGCATACATACAAATGTTTAAAATATATGTAAAATCTGTTTTTTTTTAATGTTTGTGATATATATTGGAATTACCCTTAAGAAAATCTAAATGATAAGCCAGCTGTGGTAGCCCATGCCTATAATCCCAGTACATGGGAGGTAGGGGCAGGAGGATCAGGAGTTCAAGGTCAGCCTGGGCTTTATAAGACCCTGTCTCAAAAGAGCAAAACAAGGGCCTGGAGAGATGGCTCAGCAGTTAAGAACACTGACCGTTCTTGCAGAAGACCTGGGTTCGAATCCCAGCACCCACATGGCAGCTAACAACTGTCCATAACTCCAGTTCCAGGGGATCCAACAGCCTCTTCTGTCCTCCGCGGGCACTGCATGACATGGGTGCACTTACCTACATGCAGGCATAACACTCATACACATAAAATAAAAATAAAATCTGTAACAAATTTTTATTACATATAAAATAAAATAATAAAATTTTATTTTTGAAAATATTATGTATAAATAAAAATAATAAAAAAAATTTTTTTTTTTGGTCTTTTTGAGACAGGGTCTCCCTGTAGCCCTAGCTGACCTGGAACTTGCTATGTAGACCAGGCTGGCTGGTCTACAGATCTCGAACTCACAGAGATCCGCCTGCCTCTGCCTCCCAAGTGCTGGGACTAAAGGCGTGTGCCACCATGCCCAGCAAAATTTTATTTTATTTATTTTTTTTTAAATTTTACTTTTTGGTCTTTTTGAGACAGGGTCTCCCTGTACCTCCAGCTGTCCTGGAACTCACTATGTAGACCAGGCCGGCCTTGAACTCACAGAGATCTGCCTGCCTCTACCTCCTGAGTGCTGGGATTAAAGGCGTGCACCACTAAGCCCGACTATTTTTTATGTGTATGCATGTATTAACTGCATGTAGGTAAGTGCACCCGTGTCATGCAATGCTGGCAGAGGACTGAAGAGGCTGTCAGAACTGGAGTTACAGACAGTTGTTAGCTGTCATGTGGGTGCTGGGATTCGAACCCGGGTCTTCTGCAAGTACAGCCAGTGTCCTTAACCCCTGAGCCATCTCTACAACCCCCATAAATAATTTTTTTTTTAAAAAAGCAAAACAAAAAGAAATTCAAATAAACAAGGAGAAGGAAAGCAAAAAAAAAGGAGGAGGGAAGAGGAGAAAAAAAAAAATAAACTCAGACACTTTCCCTGAAATCTCTCAAGTCTATTAACTACCTACATGTGATCCAGGGATGGGCTAAGTTAATGTCCCAAACTTCCCTTTTCTTATTTCTGCTTTCAACCTACAAAACAAAATTCCTTTGTGTATCAGAAGGCTTCAATTCCCTGGGGTAGCTTGACTGTGGAATCTGAGCCCAGGGTCCCTCCTGGTGTCTCTTCTGCTGGTTAGTGAATGGACCAGGTAGGGGGGCACTGATATACAGCCCAGTGACAAAGACAGGAAGCAAGTCTGGGCAGGCCAGACTCCCAGACAAAGGACGGCAGAGATAGCACTTTCATCAGCAACTCTGTCATAGCCACCTCTGAATCTCTGCCCTTCTGTCCTAGTTCGGAGCTGACAGACACTCTGGAAGATCACCCACCTGAGTTCAAGAAGGTCCCCAGTATTCAGTGACTGGCTGCTTTGTTCAATGATGGTTAATTCCAACAGCCAATCAGACAATGCTAGACATTTCTAGTGTCTCCTGGAGCTTTGGCCCTACTCCAACGACTGCTAAAAATGACAAACACACCCATGGTTCATCTTCCCCAAAGCCCAAAGAATACAGGTTGGATTTCAGTCATTGTGATACCCACAGAGCAACCTGAAGTCCTTAGGGAACAATAAAAGCAGCTCAAATTATAGCTCGTCCTGACATTAAAAAAAGGAAAAGAAAAATGGCAAAAAAGAAGCGCTAGTAAGGGGAAACCAGCAGCTGTGGCAGCTTTGCCCTGCTTCCTTTCTGGGAGCGTGGGCTTTAATTTAGGGCTGGTTCTCTATCCTGATTTCCTCTGGCTCTCCTTTTCCTTTGATAATGTCTTCAGCTCTAAACAGCTGATGAAGTTGAGGTTAAAGCCCCTCATTGTCTGAGGCCCTTCCAACTCAGTCAAATGCAGAGATAACAGGTCTGCCAGACATTCCAAATGGGAATATTAATTTGTCCAATGATTTTTATTTATTTTTATGTGTATGTTTTGCTTGCATGTATGTAAGTGCACCCTTGTGAAATGCCTGCAGAGGACTAAGAAGGGGAAGGGCATCAGATCCCCTGGAACTGGAGTTATGGTGCTGGGAATCCAACCTGGGTCCTCTGCAAGAGCAGCCAGTGCTCTTAACTGCTGAGCCATCTCTTCAGCCCCTCCAATGAATACTTTAAAGATTTACTAGGCATCAGGAATGGGCCTCAAAGAACATGAGGGACCTGCACATAAAGAGAAATGAAGACATCTATAAATACAACCGATACCACAGCCAAGGATGGATGCCTCTCAAACTTTATTAGGGCCCAGATCACTGGCCCTGCTCTTGTCAGGACTTGAAACTTAAGTTCTATTAGTGCCTCTCATCACCGAATCCAGCCTATGCACATAATTCCTGCCCCAAGCTTCCCAAATCAACCCAAACCTGGAAGGGTGTAACTGCAGGGATGGTGTGTTCAACTTTTCAGCAAGGCCTGGACAGAGGCATCCCAGTTTAAAACTAGATATAAGGGGCTGGAGAGATGGCACAGTGGTTAAGAGCTGACTGCTCTTGCAGAGGACCCAGGTTCGATTCCCAGCACCCACATGGCGGCTACGAACTGTCCTTAACTCCAGTTACAGGGGAATCCGACGCCTTCTTCTGACCCCCGCGGCATTGTACAACACGGGTGCACTCACATACATGCAGGCAATACACTTATACACATAAAATAAAAATAATAAATAAAATATTTAAACAACAACTAGATAGGCAGGGTGTGGTGGTGCACATCTTTAATTCCAGTACTCGGGAGGCAAGGGCAGGCAGATCTCCTTGAGTTCAAGGCCAGCCTGGTCTACAATAGTGAATTTCAGGCCACAGGGAGGTCCTGTCTCAAAAAAACAAACAAACAAAAAACTAGATGTACGAGGCCTCACTGTGTTTTCAGACCTAAAGCTCTGGAGAGTAGTAGGGGATTCCTTTCCACAGCTCTGGGAAAGATGAAGGGGGCTGGGAGTATAACTCAGGGGCAGAGTGCTTGCTTAGCATGTGCTATGGCCCTGGGTTCTATCCCCAGCACTGCAAAAACTAAAATAAAAATAAAGTTGCAGATGACTAAAAACAAGAACGGGAGGCTGGAGAGGTGACTCAGCGGTTAAGAGCACTGGCTGCTCTTGCAGAGGACCTGGGTTCAGGTCCTAGCACCCACATGGTACCTAACAACTATCCATGACTCCAGTTCTAAGGGATCTGACACCCTCTTCTGGCTTCCATGGGCATTGCATGTATGGGTACACTTACATACACTCACACAAAGCATTCATACACATAAAATAAAAATAAATAAAAAATAAATTTAAAAAAATCGAGCCAGGCATGGGGGTGCGCCTCTTTAATCCCAGCACCCAGGAGGCACAGGGAGGCAGATCTCTGTGAGATGGAGGCCATCGTGGTCTACATAGTGTGTTCCAGGTCAGCTGGGGTTTTAGAGAAACCTTGTCTCAAACAAACGAACACCAAAACAAAACAACCCTTTTCTGCAAGTTGTCCTTTGACTTTGATACATGCATACACAAATTAAAAAACTGCAAATAAAACAACAACCCATAAAGGGTATTTTTGTCTGTTTCAATCCTGTCTTAGATTCTTGAGTGCTGAGCTTACTGCCACTATGCCCACACCTGGCAAGGGAATTTGATTTGAATCTAATTTTAGGAAAGCCCAAGGTTTCAATCTCTGGAACTGCCTCTGAATACCGTTTGTTTAAAATGAACTGTTAAGTACTTTTCTTAGAAAGATAAGGGCACTAGAATAGTTTTCCCCAGCTACAACTTTCATGATATACCATCCTTGCAGAAATTTCATTACACCTGAAAGAACTCATATGGAGACGAACCCCAACAGGGTGCTTAGGACATGGTTGTTTCAGTTTTCACTAGGGTCTCGCCATTCAAACTTCCATGTGCACACTGAGCACCCCTGGGAGCCTTGTTAAATCTGATGCGGCCTCTTCTGTCCTCCGCAGCATTGCATGACACAGGTACACTTACCTACACACAGGCAATACACTCATACACATAAAATAAAAATAAATATTTTAAAAATTTTTATTTATTTATTATTTATTTATTTATTTATTTATTTATTTATTTATTTTTT